GGGTTGTGCAGGTTATGTCACCTATGTTATGGATACCCGGGAGGCGGGTAGGGCGACGGTGGGCGATGTGCCTGTGGTGCGAGAGTTCGCGGACGTATTCCCCGAGGAGCTGCCTGGGATACCTCCGGAGCGACAGGTGGAGTTCAGGATCGACCTAGTCCCTGGTGCGGCTCCGATAGCCAAGGCACCGTATCGGTTGGCTCCTCCCGAGATGCAGGAGTTGTCTACACAGCTGCAGGAGCTGTTAGACAAGGGATTCATTAGACCGAGTAGTTCTCCTGGGGAGCCCCGATTCTGTTCGTGAAGAAAAAGGACGGGTCGCATCGGATGTGTATAGACTATAGGGAGCTGAATAAGGTAACGGTGAAGAACCGTTACCCACTCCCGAGGATTGATGACCTCTTTGACCAGCTACAGGGAGCGTCTTGGTTCTCCAAGATTGATTTGTGTTCAGGGTATCATCAGATGAGGGTCAGAGAGGAGGATGTACAGAAGACGGCGTTTCGGACGCGTTATGGCCACTATGAGTTCGTGGTGATGCCTTTCGGGCTCACCAACGCTCCTGCCGCGTATATGGATCTCATGAACCGCGTGTGTAGACCGATGTTAGACCGGTCTGTGATAGTGTTTATCGATGATATCTTGGTTTACTCCAAGACGCGAGAGCAGCATGAGGAGCATCTGCGAGAGGTTCTGGAGACTTTGAGGAGGGAGAGCTTGTATGCTAAGTTCTCCAAGTGCGAGTTCTGGTTGCGCGAGGTGCAGTTTCTTGGGCACCTTGTCAACCAGAACGGGATTTCGGTAGATCCGGCCAAAGTGGAGGCCGTGATGAGATGGGAGGTTCCGAGGTCTCCATCTGAGATTCGGAGCTTCCTGGGATTAGCCGGCTACTATCGGAGATTCATCCAGGATTTCTCCAAGATAGCCTTACCCCTGACCAGGCTAACGAGGAAGGCTGTGGTCTTTCGTTGGGGGCCTGAGCAGCAGGCTGCATTCGAGACACTGAGACAGAGATTGTGCGAGGCGCCAATCTTAGCCTGCCCGAGGGCATGGAGGATCTCGTCGTGTACTGTGATGCGTCCATCTCGGGCTTGGGCGCAGTATTGATGCAGAGAGGGCATGTTATTGCTTACGCTTCGAGGCAGCTGAAGCCTCACGAGGCAAACTACCCGACGCACGATTTGGAGCTGGGGGCTGTTGTGTTCGCCCTCAAGATTTGGCGTCATTACCTCTATGGGGTTCGTTGTACGATTTACACGGACCACAAGAGCCTGAGGTATCTCATGGACCAGCCAAATCTGAACATGAGGCAGCGTCGGTGGCTTGATGTGGTAAAGGATTATGATTGTGAGATCCTCTACCACCCGGGGAAGGCCAATGTGGTGGCCGACTCGCTTAGCCGCAAGGCAGCACCGATCAGGGATGTCTGTCTGAGGATGACAGTGGTGACTCCGCTGTTGGAGCGGATTCGGGAGGCCCAACAGGAGGCCATGAAGGAGGAACATCGGAAGAGCGAGCGGATTGTGGGGCAGGTTTCCTCCTTCGACTATGATAGCCGAGGGTTATTGACTCTTCACCATAGGGTGTGGGTCCCTTATCATGGAGGCGTGCGCCAGATCCTGATGGAGGAGGCACATAAATCCAGATTTTCTATCCATCCCGGAGCGACGAAGATGTATAGAGATCTTCGTCCCGATTATTGGTGGCCCTGCATGAAGCGGGACGTAGCATGGTACGTGGAGCGGTGCTTGACCTGCAGGAAGGTCAAGGCCGAGCACCAGAGGCCACATGGCAAGATGCAGCCGTTGGATATCCCGCTGTGGAAATGGGAGGATATTACGATGGATTTTATCACAAAGCTTCCCAGGACCGCACGAGGGGTGGATTCGATTTGGGTTATCATCGATCGATTGACCAAGAGCGCTCATTTTATTCCGATTCCGGAGAGTATCTCGGCCGAGAAGTTAGCCGACATCTATATCCGGGAGGTGGTGTCGCGGCACGGGGTGCCAGTTTCAGTGATTTCCGACAGGGATGTACGGTTCACTTCCAGGTTTTGGAAGAAGTTTCATGAGGAGCTGGGTACTCGTCTGCATTTCAGCACCGCTTTTCACCCGCAGACGGATGGTCAGAGCGAGCGGACCATCCAAACGCTAGAGAATATGTTGCGGGCATGTGTTTTAGACTTCGGAGGTAGCTAGGATACCAACCTTCCGTTGGCGGAGTTCTCGAATAATAATAGCTATCATGCGAGTATCGATCGACCTCCCTTCGAGATGTTGTACGGGAGGAAGTACAGGACCCCGATATGCTGGGGCGAGGTTGGCCAGAGGGTCATGGGGAGCACCGATGTAGTGCTCAAGACGACCGAACGGATCCAGCAGGTCAGGAGCAGGCTTCAGACCGCTCAGATTCGGCAGAAAAGTTATGCCGACAAGCGCCGATCGGACCTGGAGTTTCAGGTCGGGGATATGGTTCTCCTGAAGGTGTCGTCATGGAAGGGTGTCATCCGATTCAGTAAGTGGGGCAAGTTGGGTCCCAGGTATATTGGACCCTTCAGGGTTATAGCCCGAGTGGGCAAGGTGGCTTACAGGTTGGATCTGCCAGCCGAACTCAGTCAGATCCACAACACTTTCCACGTCTTTTAGCTGCGGAAGTGCCTGGTGGACGACTCAGCAGTAGTACCCTTAGAGGATATTCAGGTCGCTGACAGCCTGAATTACATTGAGCGACCTGTAGCAATCCTTGACCGGAAGTCGAAGGATCTGAGGAACAAGAGGGTTGAGCTGGTAAAGGTGCAATGGCAGCACCGGAAGGGCTCGGAATGGACTTGGGAGCCGGTGGATGAGATGATGGAGCATTACCCAGAGTTGTTCCAGGATCGAGCAGCAGACTTCGAGGACGAAGTCTAAAATAAGTGGGGGAGATTTGTAGCACCTGGTTCTTGGTATGTATTTTTATTTAAGTATTTTTGCATTTTTGGCCTTGGACTCGGCGAGTTGAAGGACCAACTCCCCGAGTAAAAGCGGAATGAGGCGCGGGATTTAAGTGATGGACTCGTCGAGTCGGGTCCCGGACTCGACGAGTAGACTCTGACTGGACAAAAACCCTAATCCGTGGGTTTGCACCCTATTTAAACAATGTTATGTCGGCCACAACGTCCCTTATGCTCCCAGAACACCTCTCATTGAAACGAGATTTTTTTTACCATTTTATCTTAGTCGGCAAAAAGACCACATAACATTCTCATTAGGTAGGGGTAACCTGTTAACAAGTTACAAACTTGTTAAATACATAAATGCAAAAAATCAGACAAGTTTCTGATTTTAATAAACTTAAATTACCAAAGGGCTTCCAGCCTAACGGTATCAGGTGTTGTCCTCCCTCCTTGAGGTTGAGGGTTCAAGTCTCGTCGGAGACATAGGTGGATTTAAGAGTAGTTTAAGATTATATTGTATCTATCGTTCAAAAAAAATAATAAAATAAAAATAATAAAATAAACTTAAATTACAATTTAGGGTAAAACTTTATCAAACTTAAGGCTTCTTATGACAATAACCTTTTTATAAATGCAGGTTTAAGGAAAAAAAATCCATGTCAAAGAGTTTAAGTGATTTAAACTTATTTAAATAATATTTTTAATTTTAACAAAACAAATCATTTTTATTATTTGTTTTATTTAATAAATAGTCAATAATCATTTTTTTTTCATTATGGCTATTAATATTAAATTTATCACCTAGAATATATTATTTATTTCATATTTTTTAAATGTTTCTATATATTACCAGATATGTTTACGTAAAATATATTTCTTGTTTTTTAACAGTTGATCCAACATTTTTGATGATAAGAACAGGAGGGGCATTCACTTGTTCACACAAACAATATCTTCTTATTCAGATACAAATGTTCTTTTAAAAAATATAGTTTATATTTTCCTCTATAAATGTTCTTTTAGTTTTTAGAAGAAAAAAAAAGAAGAAGAAGATAAATTGAAAAAGAATCATCATACATCATTACTAATTGAATAATTACTTATGATAATCTTTCGGTATGTGATAATTCAAATATGAGGTTTTGAGTTGAATAATATAAGACTTAACTTTTACGATTTGGTTTTCAAATCCCACAATTTTTGAAATGCTTAAATTAAGGCCGACCAATATAAATAATTTATTGATTTAACTGCAAGTTATAATTTAATTCATACCATAAATTGAATATTCATTGAATGGACAACTCCAAATATATAGATCTAAATGATTCTTAAATCTTAACTATACCAATATCTAAAGCAGTCAAGTGGATACAAACTTGGGTCAAACCAAACCTAATTCTGCATACAAACAATAACCTCTCCACCAACTATTCAATGCCTCATAAATTACAAGTTTAACTTCAAATTTTAAAATAAAAACAATTTACGATATGTTTGTTGCCCATTGCAGAAATACTGATTAGAAATTAGATTGTTAAATAATGTCTATTGTATGGATTATGACCAACCACGCAAGAAATTGAAACCGTATGGACCATCTGTGTTGAGAAAAAAAAAGTTATAGACTGAAACTGTGACTTTGTAAAATAGAAGGACCATTTATGTAATTTTGTCTTCATATTATTACGGAAATGTTGAATATGAATCCTATTCTCTTATCATAAAATTGGACAACAATTTAGGACACATTTGTTGGCTATTATGGCAAGGTTGAATGTGAAATCCAAATCTATGACCAAATACATTAATGCACTATAGGATTTTAGCCAAAGGTTTATTATATCAAGAAACAACAACCATAAAATTCCACCAAAAAGACTTGTTCTAGAACTTAGAAAAACATAGTACATAACATAACACAAATTATAATGTGTTTAGCATTCATTGAATGGAGCCTGATAATACTTGAAATATTTTGTCCCATCCGAAAGTGGGACCAAGGCTCGTTCTTGATCTCTCATATGTGCAAAGACAGTAATGCCCTCCTAATTTCTTATTTTCAAATGACCCTATAGAGGTTTGCCCACTGATTATTGTTAGGTAATGTTAACTAAATATCACAAGTCAATTTGTCTTTGTTATCCAAGAGAGGATTATGATTATTCTGTCAAAAGATTTTGGGCGAAATCTAACATGATTATCTGGCACTTAAAAATGCCTTCTTAGTCAATCTTGAAACAAACATTTTTTAACTGATTAACCATGATCATCATTGCATTTGTGAAACAACATATTAAATCAAGGGTAAGCTGCCAAATATAAAGCAAACCAGAAAATCAGAAATGCATTTCAAGTTGTAAAAAACATATGGTTACATACACATCATGGAACATCAATGACCTATAACTGTGTATCCTAATGTCCCTAAAGACAAAAGAAACAACTTTTTACAATTAATAATAGACAACATACCTACAAACAAAAGGTTTTATTAGTTTCTTTGTAAAAACTTATAAATTGTTCAGAAAAATAATCATCTGTAATATGCCATGTGCCTGGAGGAGTTTCTGAAAGGGGAAGAATTAACAGGTTTCTTTTTTGGATTTTTGGTCTCAGAACGCAGCCATGACTCAACCACTGATAACAGGTTTGATGAATTCTTCATTTCTGGAAGATCAGACAATTTTTCATACCTTTTTAAATCTCCATCTTGTATGTAAGCCAGATCTGTCGCCCATGATTCTAGGCCATCAAATATGTGTGTTGCATATACAATCGTACATCCTCTCTGTTACAAATTACAATTGTATGTTATACTTGTACCAAAATAAAATTAAAAAAATAAATAAATAAATACCTGTTCACATTCCTCCTTAAAAAACTCTAGCAGATCCATCCTTGCAACAACATCAAGGTCAACCGTTACTTCATCTAGCAAAAGAACCTGAACAAGAAACCCATTCAAACTCAATTCCAAGATACTGTAAACCAGTCTGATTGTGACTGTGACTGTGACTGAGACCGACCTGAAAAGGATGAAGGAGGCCCAGGCAGATTTGAACTCGACGTCGTTGTCCATCCGAAACTTTATGCATCCGCCATTGTAGATCGATGTCCAAAAGGTCAATCAATTTTTCTCTTCTAATTGGGTCAATTCCTTCAACTGCTTATGAGTAGATTGATTGTTATATAATGAAAAATAAGATGCAATAAATCATCTTTGTGGATCCAAATTCCAACCCACCTCCAAATATCATGTGTTCGGCAGAAAAGTCTCCCTGTAGCGGCACATCTCCCTGGATTTATCTCAAAAAGTTCAAAGCTTTATTCAATATAATAGAATGTCAAGTAGACGAATTTAACAAAGAGGTTCAAGACTTACAGCTGAACCAATTGTTTTAGTCCAAGATCCACCCAAGTAAGACAAATCACCACTACAAACCAAGTGTGTGTCGTGAAAAGATGAAAAATCTAGCACCCGCACAACATTCCTCCCACCAACCATATGTTTTCCAGCCAAAATCTTCAGCAAAGTGGTTTTCCCTGCAAAGATATAGAGTCAGAATGCTTTCTTAGGGCTTTTTTTGAAACACTAGCATAGGTAGCCTGATTATGGTGCATTTGACAGCTGAGTAGCCAACTGAAATCCTAATGCTAAACTTCAAACAAATAAACCATACAATTTTGGCGCCAGATCCTTCTCCTTCAACCACCATTGTACCCAATATCTGTCTTTCCTAATGTTTATAATTGAAGGGCTATACTCAATCACATACGTACATCTACCCCGTGCAGTTATAGAAAAAAGATATAAAACGATATAGAAATCACTTCAAATCTGCATTTTCGCAATCACGATACCTCATAACTAAATCATTCGATATTGATATGAAATTTTAGAATTCCTGGTTAAGAGATGACCTATAAGCTCCAATTTCACATCTAAAACTTATCAAGTCCGAACACGAATTGCAAACGTGCACATAAACAGAAACAAAGAAATTAGGGTTTCCAAAATACCAGATCCGTTGGCACCGACAAGAAGACAACGAGATCGAGGGGAAATCTTTAGGTTGAAATCTACAAAGATAGGATTATCGCCGCTGTATCCGAATTGCATGCCGTTTACTTTGATACTGCTGGATTCGACCTCCATTTTCGGCTTAATCGTCTTCTGGTATCGGGGAGCTGTGAGTATTTGTACCTTCACGGTAGTTTTGCGTCGCTATTGAACTCGTTTTTTGATGATGTGTACGCAGCTTATGTGTACACTTGTTTGTTCCTGATTTGGTCACGTATATATTTTTTGCTGTCGGTTCCTAGCACCAATGGCAACTAGGTTCGATGGTTGGATGTCAATTTTAATTAATGAAATGGCATGTGTATATTCTTTTACGGAGTAATTACCTTTTTTTCAAAATAAATGTAACGTCTTTATTATACTAAATTTATTTTAGGGAAAATGAATTAAAATGGTAATAAAACTTTTAAAATGTACAAAAAAATTATTGTATTTTTTTTAGTACATAAAATACCATTAAAATATATTTTTTGTACACAATATACCAACGAAGTACACATGTGTTCAAATAAAACCTTGTGGTAACCGGTTATCTCAGGTAAACGAATAAATGACTTAAAAATGTAACAAATTTTATAAATGTTCAAAAAATACCATTGTTTTTTAGTACAAAAAATATCATTAAAGTATACCATTTGTACATAGCATACCAACGAAGTACACATTTTAGTACAAAAACTATCATTGAAGTTTCTAAAATGTTCAAAAAAATATTATTGTTGTTTTTCCAGAGCACAATTTATTAACTTCTTTGTTTTCGGATTATGTAGAACACGGTCATCGTAGATTATTCACCGTCCTACTAGTTCACACCAGTTGTGTACTCTATTTAATTCTATCACTCGATTAGTTTGTATCTAAATACAATCATAGAAAAACACATAACTAGGAATTCATCAATTAAGATGCAGATCGTTCAAGCGCTCCAACACATATGCTTCTCTCTCCACTTTGACTACAAATCGTCATTAAATCAGCCACATGACGTTGAGTGTTTCTGGCCATTTATCTTTCACCGGTGTCGGAGAATTAAACACAACTCTTACTCTCTACATACACGTTTAGGAATTCTCATGACATAACGTCACACTCGTTTCTCCTTTGTGTCTCTCTTGTGTCGCAACACTAATGAACGACTAACATTGATGTATAATATATGTATGTATATAAGGTATATGTGTTTTAGGTTCGATGCATATAATGCGACCGGGAAGCAAAAATGTTTAGCTAAGGTTATTACCTACTTACTTCTCATGTTACCTCAAGAACGATCGAGTGAGGGAATGAAAGAGATTGCACAACTGTTGTGAACTAATATGATGGTGCATGATCTACGGTGACTGTGTTCTACATAATCCGACAATAACGAAGTTAACAAAAAGTGTCGTATTTTTTGAACATTTTGGAAACTTCGTTACGCTTTTAAGTCATTTTTCCATTTACGTGAAGTACTTGGTTACCACAAGGTTTTATTTGAACACATGTGTACTTTGTTGGTATTCTGTGTATAAATAATATATTTTAATGGTATTTTTTGTACTAAAAAAACAACAGTGGTATTTTTTGAACAATTTTGGAAACCGGGTTACCTGATGGTCACTTACAATAGCTGGTTCACTGGTATTTTGTGTACTAAAAAAAGACAATGGTCTTTTTTGTACAGTTTTGAAACTTCGTTACCTTTTTAAGTCATTTTCCCAAAATGTATCAATGCATAATTATGTAACGCCCGTGTTTCTAGACTAGGCATTAATATTGACATAATGGTCTATGTTAACCTTTGTAACTCATTTAGAAGAAATAAAAAGGAATTATGTGAATTTTATGTGAATTATATGTTTTATGCTTAATTATTAGGGTTTAATTAATTAAGAATAAAAATGAGCGTCAAATATAAATATTAGATAAAGCCGATATCTATTAAGAAACTTGTAATGGGCGTGACAAGGATTACGGATATATAAAGAATATCGAAATCCGAGTTATAACGAATAAGTTATGACCTGTCGAAGTTTCGCGACAAAACCGACACGGGGCCGAATGTCGTAAAAAGTGAGTTTTTGATAAACTACTTTTTAGCCTTAGTGATCTAAACGAAACTCGTAGTGTTCGTTAAACCGAGAGTATGTATAAAAAGAACGCCCAAATCTAACTTCGTATGAGGAAGTTATGATTTTTCGAAGTTTCAGCTTAGTAGTAGACAGCTAAAAACTGGAATTTTAGATCGAGTGATTTTTAGCCGACACGACCTAAACGAGAATCGAAGGTCTCGTAAGCACAACGGTAAAAAGTCTGACGAAAACGGACGTCGGATGAAAAAGTTATGAATTTTTAACGGATTTCCTGTCCCGGTCTGTTAAAAATAATAATATAAAAATCAAAGTCAAAATTAGCTAACGAAGTCTAAACGAAAGTTGTAGAGCGTAATTTTACCTACGCGTGCATATAAAGAACGTCAAAAACGGAGCTCGTATGCGAAAGTTATGGATTTTATAAGATTTGGCGCGAAAATCGAGAAAAATCCCCAAAACCGAGGAATTTCGCACACGTGGACTTCGGCCACGTGTCCTCGCTTCGCATCCGACGCGTGTCCGGGAATGGCTGAGTCATCCGAGCAGCTGGCAGACGCGTGTTCGAACCCGGAGAGCTGTCCGAAGCCGCCTCGCCTACGTCCGACGCGTGTACAGTGACTCATCGCATCCGAACCTTCGCATGAGCCACGAGCCCCCTCCTCGGATCCGGACTTCGGTCCAATCAGAAGCTGCCACCGGACCCCTCGCATGCGCAGCCCACGTGACTCCTTCTCGCATCTACTGTCGCGTGGCTTCTCTCCTGACCGTCCGATCAGCAGCTCGTAGCCTATAAATAGGAGGGTGCGAACCCTCCCGGCTAGAATTTAGAAATTGGCAATTTTGGCCCCTTTTTCACTATTTTGGCTATTTTCACATCCCCCGATGCCCCGAGATCATTTCTAACGCCCGGAACACGTCCCGGAGTGCCCGAGAAGCCCGAGAAATTTATTTTTTCGGTTTCGAAGTCCGACCCTCGCAGAGCTCGGTTTCTCAATAAAACTCTCGGTTTTATTAGAAACGATCGTTTTAGGAAACGAATTGCTGCCCGATTTTCATTAAATCAGGTGAGTGTATAGTTACTTTCACCTTACACATAGATATGAAGTATTTACCTTGAAATACGTGCTATGTGTAAATATATTAATTGTTTATTTGAGGTAACTGTTGAATTGATGTTTTATACAAGTTTTAAACTGTATATGTATTTTTATCTACAAATATGTTGGGTAAAACATGGGTAGATGAATTAGATGATGCGTGATGAAATAAAAGTGATGAGAGGTACCGATGTTTAAGATAATCTAGTCATCTAGCAGAGTATAGACAACGGCCACAGACTATTTTAGATAATCCAGTGGAACGTTAGCAGACTTGTAATCGGTAAGTATGTTTGAACTATATGTTCATAAGGTGTTCTCGAACTATATGTTCATTAGGTGTTTTTGAACTATGTGTTCATCCGATAGTTCTTCTTTTTGACACTATTATGTGTCGAGGTACGGGAACGTACGAGAGTACTTTATTAGTATTTTCCCTATACTCTTATTTTGAAGAGCTTTGGAGTCTTTGTTTCTTCTATGAAGTGATCGGACGAGCTTCATGAGTCAGCGTTTCCGATGCCGGATAGGACGCGTGATATCGCAATAATTATACATATATTTCGAGCGATATTTATGTATTTTTAGCTATATTTTGGTATGATTTAAGATAAAAGGTACTTATAAAGTTTGAAATTCCATTTTACAGCAAAAAATCATTTCTGAAGAAAAAGGAGAAGAAAATGTGCAAAAATCCGCAAAAAGAAGTGAAAGAAATTACACGAAGAAAAACGAGATCAAAAAGTCAAAGAATTCAAAAATAGCCGCGTTGGAAAGACGAGAAAACAAAATAAAAATATAAAAAAAAAGAATTTAAATTAATTAATGAGGTTTAATTAAAATAAATTATTGGGAATTAATTATTTAATTTCTAAATAATTTATATTAATTAAATTAATTTAATTTAATTTAATTTGCAAAAGAAAAAAAAATAAAAATAAAATAAAAAGAAACAAAACCCGGAGCCCAAACCAGGAGCCCAAACCCGGAGCCCAAAACCCGGAGCCCAAAGACGGCCTGATCCGTCCACCAGAAGACCCGAACCGAATCCGAGATCCGACCCGTCCGCCCCGCGTCCATTTTCCCTCACAGAAAGATCCGATGTTACCGACCCGACCCCGATCCGACCCGGGTTTAGGATCCGCGCTTTTTTCCGATTATGACGTCATCGACGACGTCACTCGGATCCGATCCATGTCCGGCTTCGACCCAGCTCCGACCCGAGCTCCGATTCGTTTTCTCTCACATGAAGATCCGCGTGTCGACCCGATTCCGACCCAAAATCCGATTCGAAACTATTCAGCTTAAAACGACGTCGTTTTGGCTTCCAGATTTGCCAATTCCGATTCCATTCCGTTTTTAACCATTTTTTCCCCACTTTTTCCTATTTTAAACTCATTCATTTCCAACCAATACTCAATAATTCACCACCTTTAAACTTTCCAACCTTTTATTCCCATCTTTTTAATTCTTTTGAATTCTTTTTCATTAGATCCAATCTCAATTTATTTCTTTTTGGTATTTAATTCTCCCAATTTTTACTATAAATACCACCATTTTTCACCAAAGAGGAAAAGAAGAAAAAAAGGAGAAGAAATTGAATCATACACTTTGATACACAAATTTCTCCATACAATTTCTTACCATATCACCACTATACCAAATTCCACCCAACCTTTGAACCACAATTGGGGATTCAAGAGTCAAAAAAGCTAAGGAATTGAAGATTGCAGTGGCATTAGGGACTACATCGGGTTTGTTTTATCGACATGTTTAACATTCTCAATATGTTTTCTATGTATGTTGTAACCTTAATTATGAGCTAAATTCTCTTTGCTTTCACTTGGATAATGAAACCTTGAAAATATGATTTGATTTATATTATTCGGATATTAATTGTTATTTATTTTATCATGCATATTTGATCATTTATTTGTATATGTTAAGTTTTTGTAATTAATTTTCCCATAACTAAGTTAATATTTTTAAAAGATCACTTTAATTATATTATATTGAATCATAAA